CCGCCAGCGATCGGCGAGCTCAGCCATCCAGCGGCGCAGCCCTTGGAGCAGCGCGCGGGGCTGCTCTGCCGCCCGCGCCCGCAGGAGGGCCGGGGGCCAGCTCGTCATCCAGCGCTGGAGCTGTTCGGGCGACTCTGTCGTTCGACCGGGGGTCCGTGCGGGTCCAGCGTCGGGCGCAGTGCCTCGTAGAGCGGCGCCGCGAGTTGCCGACGCAGCTGCAGGCGGCCCAGCGCCAACAGACGGCGCTCGCTTCGGCGTCGCTACCTCCTTGCGGGCATGTCGCAGTGACTCGCGTGAGACGCGCGCGCTGGAGCTTCGCAAGCTGCGCCTTTGGCGGCGCGCCATCGTGGAAGAGATGGCGCGGGCGCTGCGAGCAGCCGACGTGCCGTGGGACATCCTCAACTTCATCTTCGCCGTGGCCAACGACTGCAGGGGGCGTCGCGCGTGGCTGCCGCCAGCGCGCATGGCCATCCTTTCACTCCGCCTATCGACGTGACTCAACCAGCGCGTTCAGTGCGACATCCTGTTTTACCAGGGTCGCGTGATTATTCGTCTGATCAGTTGCGCCTCGCGGTGGTGTAAATGGTCGGGGGGTCGCGCCCGAGCTCGACTCGACGCTGCTTGCCGCCGTCGGCCGCTCGCGGGTCCAGCTGTTCGGTTCGATGGGGACTTTGGTCGCGGGCGGCGGGGGTGGGGTGACCTCGGCGTGATTCGTGGAGGAGATGAAGAGGGGGGTGGCCAGTAGACGTGCGTGCTCCGCGCCGGCGCGCTCGTTTCGCCGAGCGGCGCGGGGCCATGCTGCGACGGGCAATCTGCGCCGCGGAGGAGCAGCTGGAGCGCGAAGGCGCCGCGGCGAAGTTCGACTCCATTCTGGATCGTGTCATGTTTGCTAGCAGAAGCGTCGCCCACGTGGGCGGCGTTGCGCCATGCAACGTCGTCTTTGGACAGCGGCCGCCCCTGCTGCCGCCGCTGGGGGCAGGCGAACGGGGCGAGGCATCCAGCGACTGTGTCGCTGGTGCTGACTGCCGACTGCAGTGGCGCCCCTGTAGCGCGTGATCGAAGCCGCGTCGATCGCGCGCGTCAGCCGTGCCCTCAGGGCCCGCGCCGCCGGGTCCCAAGAGGGCCGCTTCGACGTGGGCGACCCGGCGGAGAGCCGCGGGCCGCCAATCACCAAGGATGTGGCAGGCCGAGCGGGCCCTGGGGCAGTCGCGTCTGTAGACCGGGTTCGCGGCGAGGTGGCGGCCAAGTGCCGCCGGGCCGAGATGGTCTGCGGATTGCAGGGCGCCCGGGCCTTCATCGGTGCCGTCTTCGACGAGATGGGCGCCAGCATGGCGCGAGTAGGCTTGGCTAGGGGGCGCGTAGTAAACTGCCTGGAACACGTCGCGCCGGGCTCTGGGGCCAGGGCCTTCGGCCGCTGGGGGGGCGCCCGTGGCGTGCAGCTCGCCGAGCGGACGCGGCGACGCCCGGGCGTCCTCGAAGCCCTGCGTCATCTTTCCCGCAGGTGTTTGCAGCTATGAGACATTCGCGCCGTGGCCAGGCTGCGCCCGCAACTTGGCCGTCTGGTGGTTTCTTCGGAACGCTTCCGACGTCCGGCGGATCCATCTCAACGGCCCCGCGTTCACCACCTGCCAGCTCGTCGGCGAGCAATGGAAGGGAGCTCGCGTCATGCAGTTTATCTTAGGCGATGAGCCGTCCATGGCGACGGGCGCCCGCCGGGACCTGGGCGGAACGCTCGATGATAGTGTCATTGACGTTCCCGAGGACACCGCCATCACCGCCGGAGGTAGAGATCGCCATCAGCTCTGCCGGCTATGCCAGAGGAGAGCGGCATGCTGCCACATCCAACAGGTGATGTTTGCAGCTTCGTGTGAAGGCGGGGGGGCAGAAGATCTGGCGATCTGACTGATGAGCTGGAGGAGCTGGAGAGCGCCGGTAGCCGGCGTGGAATCTCCGCTGCCGTCGAGCATGCCGCGGCCGACCCAGGCGTTGGGCCGCGCGAGTGTCCCCGTCACTTCGAGTCGCAGTACTGGCGTCGGAACATCCACGCGCTGTGCCGCTACTACTTGCGCGGGGCCTCTTTGGGCGACTGCGCCACGCTACAGAAGGAGGGCGATGTGAGTGGATGTGTGGAGCTTCATCTTGGCCCAGCGGTGCGTGAAGCATCCCGCCCGAAACGCAATTGATTTCACGCGTGTTTTCAAGTGGAAGCACCGGAAGGGATCAGACGGCAAGACTGTCGGGATCTTCCTGTGCCGCCTGGCGCTGAGGGGGTTTCTCGACATGGGCGCCCAGGCCCGGGGGGCGCTCGCTGGGGCTGCGAAGCGGGCGTCTCGACGCGTACTATCCTCAGCGGTGGCGCGTCGCCCCGACCGGGCGTGCGTCGCCGAGGACGCCCGGGAGGCATTCTTGCAAGACGTGACCTATGCAGAGATGCAGGAGCAATTCGAAGTACCTCTCGAGGCGAACTTCGCCCAGCCACCCGGCGCTGCGGCCAGTTCAGTCAGGTGCCTGGCCGCGAGAGCGTCGAGCGGATGGGGCGCCCGCGCGGCGTGGGGCCGGGTGCGGGCTGCAAGGGTGCGCCCAGAGCCTTCTCCATGGAGCTTGCCTGGGTCGCGCACTTACCTGGGTGCAGCGCCAAGCCAGCCAGGTGGGGTCCGTAGCTTGAGGTCAAGCGCGTGGGGTCCAGCTGCTGTGCTGCTGGCGTCTCGGAGCAAGTGCTCATGTTTTCCGAGCATTTTGAGGGTCTGAAGATCGCTGGGCGCAGAGAAAACGTCGACCAGCTGATCAGCCACGTCGAGAGCGTCTTCGGCAAGATGAAGGGTGACTGCGACGATTTCACCGGCTGCGGAGTGCACCTGCGCCGCTGTGCCCATGGCGCCGTGACGCTCGACCAGGGCGAGTGCATTTGCGCTCTGATGCCGATCGGACACGTCGACCTGGTCATGGCCAAGGCTGACGAGCTAGCCCGAGGTGAGCTTCCCGACCTCTTTGCCGCCCTCCTGGGAGCAGCGGCCTACGCCCTGCTCGCCCAGCACCGCGTCGCGGCGTGCGTCGTCGCCGCGCGGAGAGCCGAGAGCAAGTTGCTCATCCGACGCGTGATGCAGCTCAGCTCAGCCCAGTTGTTCTGGCCATGCAGCAGATCAAGGCACGCGTCGCGTTTCCATCCATGGAGCGCGCCGCAAGGCGACTCAGCGCGCGCAGCGACGGGCCCCCCATGGGGGGGGAGGGGTCAGGATGCGCACGAGAAGGACCGTGTACATGCATTTCGGCAAGCGCCGCCGCGCCGGGTAACAGGTGTGCCAACTGCTGGGCGCAGTGAGCCGAGCGCGCAAGCTTGTGTACAGATCCTCATTGGGTTCCGAGCTGCTCGCAGCATTCGGCGCAGCAGGCGGTCTGCTGGCGTGCCTGCCCACGTTGCGCGAGACGGTTCACGGCCCCGCCTCTGCCGAGCAGGTCAGGGGGCTAAGAGGGAAAGGAGGTTGCGCGATCCCTGCGGACCTCGTCATAGACGGCGTGTCCGTCTTCAGCGCCCTGCTCGCGGACTCCATCTGGCCGCCGTCCGAGAACAGTATAGCTGGCCACCTGTGGTCCTTAGCCGGCCAGTTGCGCGCCGAGCAGATTGACGACTGGCGCTTGCGCGACAGTCAGGACTTGCGGGCCGACCCCGTGGCCAAGGGCAGCGTGGGCCGAGGGCTAATCCTCAGCGTGATGAGCGGCCATATCAGCCATGGCCACGCCGCGGTCGACTTCGGCGACGAGAAGCTGAAGAAGGCCGCCCCGAGCACACAGCATAGCTCACTCACGCAGAAGTAAGGAAACTACATCGTGACTGTCACGATGTCACACGGAGTCCGAAAGCGTACATACATACATATCTATGCACATATGTATATGTATATGTACCTAAGAGCCGCATTGGCTCACTGGGGGTGGCATGCGTGTTCCGACATTTGCGGAGACCGACGTGCGATATCGGCGAGTTGAGCGCTCAAGTGAGTGGGCTTGTGCTGACTGTGTCCGTGCAGCTCGCAGTTCTTTAGCACCTGCTCTTTTAGTAATCGTAACAGTTGGGAGATCTGTTAGCCTGCTCTGACGAGTCTCAGGAGCTCTATAAGGAGTAACTCCCTGCCACAGGCGCTGCAAAATAAACCATAACAAGTTTTTGCGGTTGGTGCCGTGGGCTGCCAAGGTGCCATTGGGATGGAATGAAGTCTGTTTGACAGCTCCGAGACATGTCGGAACCAGGTGACGCGTCTTCTCGCGGCCAGGCAGCTGTTTTTGAAGGGGCGGTCAATGGAGCCCTCCTGTTGTGCTGTTGCGGCCGTTTTTTTTTTTTTTTTTTTTTTTTTTTTTTTTTTTTTTTTTTTTTTTTTTTTTTTTTTTTTTTTTTTTTTTTTTTTTATATATATATATATATATATATATATTTGATATTATTATTATTTTTAAATAATATATATATTATATTATATTATATTAATATATATATATAGAATAAAGAATGGGCGGTTCGCCGCGCTCTCCCTTAGTGTTGTTTCCACCCCCTTGAAGGCACGACGGTTTTGTTTGAGCGCTAGATTCGAATGGTAGGTCTGTGCACCTTTTTGCCTTCTCTGCCCTGTAACTGTTCCCCCTTGCCGACGCCATTTTTGCGCTGGGGCGCGGGAGGTGGCCAAGCTTCCGTGCCGCTTTATACGTGCCCTGTGCCATCCGCCATTTACACTGCGCAATTGGAAAGTACGAATTTGAACTCTACATCCTCATTTCTAGTCTCCTCCCCCTCTCTACCCCTCCTCCTCCCGCTCTTTCCCCTCCTTGTCCTGGTCCTCTTCCTTTCCCTTGACGTTCTCCTCCTCCTCCTCGTCCTCTTCCTCCTCCTCCTCCTCCTCCTCGTCCTCCTCCTCCCACTCTTCTTTTGTTCCTTCCCTCCGTGTCCTGGTCGTCGTCGTCTTCGGTGACATTATCCTCGTCTTCGTCTTCTTCTTCCACTTTGTCGCCAGCTTCCCGCTTTGTTCGAGCGTTCACCAAGGCCCCGATGAGGGTCGACTGGGAGGAGGGCGTGGTGACGGTGATGGTGCGGCAGATCCCGAGGCAGTACAATCAGATCATGTTCCTCGCAGAGGTCTTCGCTGTCGGGCTTTGCTTCGTTTTATCGTCGTAGTCGTTGTCGTCGTCTTCGTCGCCGTCACCTCCTCCGCGGCCGCCACCGCTGTCGCCTTTGCCGACGCGTCCGCCGCGGCCGCCACCACTGTCGCCTTTGCCGCCGCTTCCGCCGCGGCCGCCACCGCTGTTGCCTTCGTCGTCGTCGTCGCGTCGTCGTCGTCGTCGTCGTCGTCGTCGTCGTCGCCGCCATTTCTCCCTCCTCCTCCTCCCCCTCCCCCCTCCTTCTCCCCCTCCTCCCCTCCCCCCCCTTCCAGGTCTAGGACGGTGACCTGCCTTTTCGGAAGCAGGCCACCGTCTTAGACCTGGTCCATCTTCCCCTTGCGCAGCCGTTTTTGGTCAGCGCTTCAGGCTCCGCGCGCTCCGCTGGCCTTGAGAGGTGCGCGTCAGCCCGACCCCTGCTCCGCCGCGATGATGGCGCGGTGTTTTATCTCCGCGCGGTGCCGATGGGCGACAGCGAGCAGGCCCAGCTTGCAGGATGTCGAGACATCCCACCAGTCGTGGCGTTGCAGATCGCAAAGGCCAATGATGAGGTGCTCTGGCCCGAACGGCTGGAGGAGCCACGGGGGGGCCCTGAAGCGTGCGTGGGCCGCCGCCTCCGGTCAAAACGGAGGCCAAGCAAACAAGAAATCGAACAGCAGGATATCTGGAGCGTGCAGCCTCTACTGCATATTCCCTGCTGCCATACTTGACGAACCACGAGGATAACGTGGAGGAAACGCAGGAGCTCGAGTTGGACCGCTAGGTTGTCACAACCTGTTCGTGGCCATGGTTCGGTTTCCGCGGACCCTTAGTGGGCCCTGGAAGCGTCAGGGCCATTCTGCAACCGTTTCCGAAAAGTGTCTTTTGAAAGTCGGAACGGAAAAAAACCGCGACCGGAAACGGCAACACACACGGATCCAAAACGTGAGCCAGAGAAACGGCGACGGATTTAGCACAAAAATGGCGTCGGCAAAACAACGGAAACGCGGAATTTGTAAAAAACGGGCCTTTCGATTGCAGGGCCCACTAAGCACGGGCTCCCTGTGAGCGGGATCTCGAGACCACGAGGGCGATCTTGAGCAAATTGGAGAGCCAGGTCGCGCTGCGGATGAGGGAGTGGACCGCGGCGATGTCCCGACGGATCGCGCACGCCTCGTGGCTGGGCCCAGGGAGGGGCGGGCAAGGACGCCGCTGCCCCAATGCCTCCCCCGCGCGACACGGCCAGGCCAAGGGAACCTGCAGTCAATGCGCTGACATGAGGACAACGTTGGGCTCAAGAGGGGCTCCGGTTTTCGGGCCACTCCCTGGATCCAGGTCGTAGAACCTACTCGTGGCCGAGGCTCGCCGTGGCTAGGATAGCCCGTTCGTTCCCTATTATGCATTAGTTATGGCAGCACGACGGCTGCATCCAGATGTTCCAGCCGCCGAAGCCATACAGCCAGAACCCATGATAAGGCCACGCGCCCTTCCTAGGGCACCCTTGGGCCCTTGCCTCTGCGGCCCGTCCTCGGCCGCTTTCGCCCGCCAGCCTTTCAGGGCACCGTTGGGGCGGGGGCCGTTCTTTGGGGGCTTCATTGGGGGGCAGTTCTAAGGACGCGGGTTACACGGTACCCGTGGCCGTCTTTCGGAGCGTCGCCCTCGCCTTCGCCCGTCGCTCAGCTTGCGGGCGGGCGTGGCCCTGAGGATGTTGGCCGAGCAGGGCTCCCTTGGCCGTCTTTGGGCGCGTCGCTGCTGCTCTCGGTCGCGTTCTTCCTTTACGGGCGGACGTTGTCTCGAGGACGCGGACCAGGCAAGGTTGGCAAGGTTCCCTGGGCCGCTCCCGCTCCCGCTTCGGCCGTCGCCTCGTTCGCGGGCGGACGTGGCCCCGGGGCCGCGGGGCAGGCAGGGGCTTTGTCCGTCCTTCGGCGCGTTCCCAGTGCTCTGGGCCGCCTTCTTCGGACGTGGCCCTCAGGACGCGGGCCGTGCAATCCCCCCGCCCCTGGCCGTCTGTGGGCGCGCCGTCCCCTCCTGCTGCCGTCGCCGCGTCCGCGGGCGGACGTGGCCTTCTCGGCGCGGGCCGCGCAGGGGACCCTTGGCCCTTGGCCCGCGCCCTGCTTGTGCGTTGGGCCTTGCTTCGCAGTGTAGAAGGCCACGTTGGCGTTGGCGTCCAGAACAGGAGTTGTGCACGATTGTTTTTTCTCACGCGGTTTTCGGGGTGACGCGTGTCACCCTTGTGTTGTTTCGCGCTGTGTGGCCCCAAGTTGGCGTCCAGAGGGCGAGTGGAACGATTGGTTTTCTCTCACACAGTCGGTTTTCACCCTGCGGTTTTTGGGGCGACACGTGCCACTCTGTGTGTTGTTCACAGGCCCCTCCTTCTCCCCCCTTCCCGTCTTTTCCGTCAAGCCAGGCGCGGGCCAGGCAGGGGACTCTGGACCCCTGGGGCCGCGAGGCGGAGAGCCCGAGGACGCGGAGAAGGCACACACCCCTCTTGTGCACCCCTGCCCCTTCGGCACGCACCGCGTCGGCCGCGGGGCGGGGCGCCGTTGCGGACGCGGGGAAGGCAGGGCCCCCCTGCGCGCTCCGCGCCCCTTCGGTCCGCACAGCGTCGGCCGCGGGGCGAGGCGCCCCTGGTGACGCGGAGAAGGCGCGGGCCCCTTGCGCGTCCTTGCCCCCGCTGCGCTGTGCCCACCCGAGCAGGCGCCTTTGAACGGCGCCATGTCCAGAGGGACGGTCCTCCTGCCCCCCCCTGTTGTGAATCAAAGAGGTGCGCGGCCCGCTTAGCTTCGACCGGAAGAGGTGCGCTCTCGACCCGCGGATCAAAAAAACGTCCAGGGGGGCGCGCAGATTTTGTGGGTAGTACCCCTGCGCTATGTTTGCTGTGGGCCTCGTCGCCAAGTCGGCAAGGACGGGAGCGGGCCAGGGTACCCCTGCGTCCCAGGGGTTTTGGCCACCCGCTGCCCAACATAATGGTAGGTTTTGGTTGTCACCATGATGCGACAAGAGATCGTGCGCCAAGTGGATGTGATGTCGGCGCAGGAGACAAAGGAGATCCAGACGCAGCGTCCGAGAACGCCACGGAGGAGTGCGCATTCGCTTCGCGACGTTGCGCTCGAGGTCGGCAACGCCCTGGCGGACATCGGGGGCAATATGATCAGTTTCCACGGTGGGCTCGCATTGATTGAGGCCGCGGTCAGGGGATTCGTTGCGTCGGATTGAACTGGAGCCAATTGTGGGTGGCAGCGGCACCAGGTGGAACGTGAGGCAACCGAATGGCTGACGTCCCAGCTGGTGCTTGATAGACGTAAGGGAAGGTGCGCGATCTGTGGGACCAGCTTGTTGCCATAGAGGTTCCGCGTCAGCCAGCACTTGGTTTGATGCAAGCACGGGACCACGATGATAAGGTGGTACAGCAACCGGATGCACTGTAGCAGTGGGCGGACGAGTTGGAACTTCAGTTTCGAGGCCTACCAAATCGTTGAACCCTGGCGTTTCCGCAATAGCCTGCAGACATGCAGCCGCCGCGGATCGTCGTGCTAGAGACGTAGCGTGCACCGTGCCAGATGTTGCGCCGCAGCGGGGACATCCTGGTGGGGGAATGTCAGACGGTCCTGAAGATGGCGTCCCCCGAGTCGGATGACGTTGCCCAGAGTCTCTTGCCAACGATGTTCGGCAAGATGTTTGACGAGGCCGTTTTGGCTGCAGACGGAGTTCACCCAGATGGGGGCTTCGTACCACGAAACCTGCCACGCTGTCATCATGAATGGGAAGCTGTGCGGGCCTGGGCGGTACGACTTGTTCGTTTTTGGCGACGCTGTCCTTTTGTTTTGAGCCCTCAGGCGCTTGCGCTATGTCCGTGGGCTAGGCGGTGCTTCGTTGTCGACTTCTCTTGCCCAGGCTGTAATCACCCTGTGACTTGTTTCACCTATTGTACGCGGCGAACTGTATGAGTGAACGTGCACAAGGATTTGTAAGCCGCTTGGACCAAGCGTAAGCAAACTGCTCAGGGGTGGCGGGCAATTTTCTTACTAGAGTCGGTCGTTGTGACAATGCGGATTTCGTTTTGGAGCTCCGCGCGTTCGTGGTTCATGGTTCCAATGAGCGCAAAGGTGGAAGCTGGTTCGTTTTCGAACTACGTTTTTCCCTTCGGGCGCCGAGTACATTCGCCTCAAAAAATTCAAGCAAATGCACGGATGGATGGGTTTCGAAATCTCAGTACGAATTCCCCCGGTCAGGCCCATCTTGGGTCTTCTTGGGCCGTCTTCGGGACCTTGTAGGCCATCTCGAGGCCCTCTTGGGCTGCCTTGGGGCCTTCTTCAGGGCCGTGTTGGGGCGATCTTGAGGCCCCTTGGGCCGCCTTGGAGCGTCGGAAGGCCGATTCGGCGCGAACGCTGACATGTAGTCTTCGGGGGGGGGCCTCTCGGAACGCTCTATGGGTGTCTTGAGGGCCTCCGCGTTTCGCAGCGCTCTTGGACCGTCTCGGAGGCCCTTTTGGAACACCCTTGGCGCTTCTAGGTCAAGGGGGGAAAAACCACCCCGACCCCCATAGTGAGCGTCTACTACAACGGCCCTGGCCGTTTATCTAACAGCCCTGCCTTGTTCGATTCCTTCCTTGGGTGCGTTGACCAATCGTTTGTCGGGGTTTGCTCCCTACCAGGGACCATCTCGGCTCGTCGTGGGGCTCCGTGGCCTCAGGAGTCGTCGCGCGACGCTCCCGCGCCGCGCCCGTGTGCGCCCAGAGCTCGGGGCCCTGGATCCCTTGCAAGAGTACCGCGGCTTTAAATGCAGAGATTCGAATGACCTCTGGGCACTCCACGTCGTGCCTCGGGGGACGGTATCGACTACAGATGGATCGGCGGCGAGGAAAGGGGGGGAGTGAGAAGGATAACCGCCTTCTCAGGACGCGGTGGGACTTCTCAGAAGCCCGCGCGCCCTCTGAGAGAAGTTTTTTGAGTCCTCGGGGAAGGCTTGGCACACTTCTCAGAAGACCCGAGGCTTTCCGAACCTTTG